ATTGTGATGGTTACGCTGCAATCCTCCATTCTTCTCATGGGATTTTGGACATGCACACACATGTGCCCAGTGTGAGTTGTAAGCTGTCGTGTTCACTCAAACCGTGGTTGACTGCATGGGCGTCCAGCAACTTATCCTTATGCCATCTGCTGGTCCCAGTATCTTACAACGTTAATCAATAACCTCATGAAGTATGCTATGGTATATGGCTAACAACAAAAATCAAGTTAACAACCCTAAATATGAACTACTAAGCACACTTTCTTTCAAAGGGTTAAGAAAAAAGAAAAAAAAAAGCCAACTAATGAGATAGGAACTTCATCTGAATACAGCCTATACACGAATTATACAAGAATATGAAAACTACCCACATCTCCTATTTTCTATTAAGAAACAATCTCAGTCATATTTTTTCTCAGAATGTATTGATAATGCCATTATATGCCTCTATGTGTTCTTCTCTTTGTTTTGTCTATAAGCTTAATTTTTTTTTCCATTTTTAGAGGTGGCTGATCAATATCAGAGGTAAATATCCATTGTTATAATTGACCTCTCCACTTATACTTCATACTTTACTGGATTTATATAGTAACTCTGAGGAATATAAATTTCTTTTTTTTTTTTTTTTTGGAGAGGTTTTAGCTATAGGGCGCGTGTGCTCGCCAGAAAGATAGAGACAGAGAGACAGAAAGCGAGAAATCACCCCCCAAGGGGGTTGGCCACGCCACAATCCCTTCTCCTCCATTCTCCTCTCGGGATCTTGGGACTGCACACACAAGTGCCCAGCATGAGTTTTAAGCCACTGGGTCCGGGATGTGAACCGCGGTCAACTACATGGGAGTCCAGCGACATAGCCATTACGCTAACTGCTGGTCCCAAACGTCATTTTTTAAAAAAATTTGCCAGAGCATGTGTGTGCTCACCAGAGACAGCCAGAAAGAGAGAGAATGGAAAATGAGAAAGCACCTCTCATGAGGGACAGTCACATTGCAATCCTTTCTTTGTTTTGCACTCCTTTTAGGATTTTGGGTGCACACACACACACACATGCGTGCCCAGTGAGTTTTTTTTTTTTTTTTTAAGCTGTAGGGTTCAGTACTTGAAGTACACAGTTAGCCATGTAGGATCCAGATGTCTTAACAACCATGCCCCAGGTTGGCCTGTAACTATTATTACTTAATGGAACACACAGTAATTTATAAAAGCTGTGTCAACAGGTTTTCTTTTCACTTATTAAAAAATTTTAGGTCTTCTCTTAAAAAAAAAAATCTAGATCTGGGGCCAGCAGGTAGCATGGTGGTTAAGGTGCTGGATTCCCATATGGCCAACCGTGGTTCGAGTCCTGGTCTTGGGGTTGGCACTTGCTTTTTCACTTTCCCTCTCTGATCAAATTAAAATAATAATAATAATAAATAAAATTAAATAAAATAATAAAAAAAAATTCTAGATCCTATAACTTATTATTTAAAGGACTAGCTTTTGAGTAAACTGAAAAAAATTTAGAATTTTCTAAGACTTTTCAAGTCAAGTGGAAATTGACAGGAATTTTGTAAATGTCTATTTTTTCTAAACATGGGAATTTGCAAATATAAATGATGATGGAAAATTGTCCTTTTCTTACCTTGGAGATAAAGTATTTTGTGATGTATTGGTAGGAGAAGTAAGGGGGCTGGACCAATTGGCTGGTGATCGTGGTGTTGGTCTTGTCAAAGGGCTTCCCATAGAACTCTGATGAAGGGAGTCAAATAAACATTAACACATGATAGGTATGTTCAATTAAAAGGTTCTTAAAGAAGTCATACAATTATGAAGATGAACCATATTTATAGGTCAATATTCTAAATATTCGTGTACTTATGGTTGGCTTCTGGGAGGGAAATGTTTCCTGATTTAACTCTTTAGACCTTTTCTGTTCTCCTTAACTACTTTCTGCTCTCCAATATTAACTTCCTTTTCCTCAAGAATTTAACAAGATTCTTAATTAGTCTTTTTTTCTTCTTTCCTATACAGGATATACGTACTCGCCAAAGACAGAGACAGACAGAGAGAGGAAAAATGAAAAATCACCACCCCCCCAGGGGGATGGCCATGTCTCAATCCCTTCTCCTCTATTCTCCCCTCCGGATTTTGGGCATGCATGCACAGGAGCCCAGTGTGATTTTTAAGTCTCTGAGTCTGTGACTTGAACTGCAGTTGGCTACATGGGAGCCCAACACCTTAACCTCCACACTACCTGTTAGCCCCTAAAGTAGTAATTTTAAATGAGCTTCCTGTTCTGAGAGAATTTCTTTCCTTCAACCATTATTAATACTGCCCATAACAAAGAGAGACAGAGAGAAAGAGAAAAATACCTGACAGGTTCACAAGAAATTGTTCTTAGATTACTTTTTTTTTTTTTAAATTTGACACAGTGTGTATGCATTTACCAGAGAAAGTGAGAAAAAGACAGAGAGGATGGGGGATGGCCATGCTGCAATTCCTTCTCCATTTTTTTTTTTCCCTTTCAGGATTTTGGGCATGCTGGCACACAAGCCTATCCTGTTTTTCAAACCTTCAGGTCTGGAACTCAAACTGTGTCGTCAGCCATGTGGGATCCAGTTGTCCTAACTATCATGACACCAGCAGGCCCTGTTCCCAGATTGCTTTTAACTCTCAGGATTTACCTTAAGGCACTGCATCTACGTTCTTATTTAATGTTTTCTTTCTCTCTCTCTCTCTCTCTCTCTCTCTTTTTTTTTTTTAAAGAGAGAGATCTTTGCTACAGGGTGCATGTGTTCACCAGAGACAGAAAGTGAGAAATCACTCCCTAGGGGGGATGGCTATGTTGCAATCCCTTCTCTTCCACTCTCCTCCTGGGATTTTGGGCACACATGCACACATACCCAGTGTGAATTTTAAACTGCCAGGTCCAGGACTCAAACTGCAGTAAACTACATGGGAGTCCAGTGACAAAATAACAATTATACCATTTGCAGATCCCTCTTTCTTTCTTTTTTGATTTGTCAGAAGACACATGAGTTCACAGGAGAGAGACAGAAGTATAGAGAGAGAAAGAGAAAGAAAGAAAGAGAGAGACAGCACAAAAGCATCCCCCATGGGAAATGGTCATGCAATAAACTCTTCTCTTTCATCTCTCAGAGTTTCAGGCATGCAGGCATTTTTTTTTGGAGAGATTTTTTGCTATAGGGCGCGTGCGTTTGCCAGACAGAGAGAGACAGAGAGATAGAAAGTGAGAAATCACCCCCCTGGCCATGCTGCAATCCCTTCTTCTCTGCTCTCCTCTTGGGATCGCACGCACATGCGCCCGGCATGAGTTTAAGCCACCGGGTCCAGGACTCAAACCACAGTCAACTATGTGGGAGTTCAGCGACATAGCCATTACGCTAACTGCTGGTCCCAAGGCATGCAGGCATTCGTGACTAGCATGTTTCTCAAGCTGCCAGGTCTGGGGAGATCAGCTATGTGGATCCATCCCATGGTGTGATGGCCCTCATTTATGTTTCCAAAGATCTTTCTTTTTTAAAAAGAATTATTTATTCATTTAATTCCATGTGTCATTATTATTTTTTAATTTGACCAGAGACAGAGAGAGAGAAAGAAAAAGCAAGAAGGCAAGCTGCCAGGTCTGGAACTTGAACCACAGTCGGCCATGTGGGAGTCCAGCGCCTTGATCCACCACGCCACTTGGTGGGCCCCAAAGGCCTTTCTTTCTTAAGACTTGAGTTCGATTCTCTAGGCATATTACACAAATGACTTCATATCATTTATATATAATACTGCAATGTCTCACTTGGTTCTTTCTTCCTCAAAACAAAATCTTGAATATCCAAGCATAAATAGACTTATAAGCCTATAATCATTAAATGTGACCACACTTATTAAAGCACTACCCTTTAAATATATGTGTTAGCTCTGAAAAAATGTATTCCTGCTAGTCCTTAATTAAGTATTGATTCACCTAAAGACTATGTCCTAATTCTAAAGGCATCCACTTAGAAGTGGTACCCTCATCTGTGTTCTACTCACATTTGGCTTTCCTTGTTCATACCCTGGACACCATTGACCACCACTCTAGTGTGCAGAAATCATAATAGAAACACGACAGGCCTAGAGATTCTATTCTTTCCAAGACAGAGTTAATTGTGCTCAATAAATGCTGCCAAGCACAGATGTAAAAATTATATATAGGATCAAGTTTACTTCATGTAAATGAATGCAATTGGTAAACAAACCATCACATCATACAGTAGTCAAGACAGTAAGTGAAAATACCTGGGTTCCATTGCCAGTGTTTCGAAGGTGATTGTGAAGAAGCTTGGTAGCACCATCCTGAAAAGTTTTTGGTAAAGCTCCTAATAACATTGTAAACTCTGGGGTATTGAGTTCAAATAAAGAAATCAGCACTGATTGTGCTGCCTAAAGAACAAAGACATACAAGAAGTAGATTAATAAATTTTGGTTACTCAAAGGGAACCATTTTCTTCTCTCACCACTTTGTTCAAGAGCACAGGCTTAGCCATTTTTCCCAGGGAAAAGGAAGATGTTCTTATTTACCTTTTCTTTCTTTCTTTTTTTTAACAGACTTAATTATATTTATCTTTATTCTTTTTAAATTTGCTACAGGCACATGGGCTCACCAGAAAGAGACAGAGAGAGAGGAGAAAGAGCAAGTCACAAGGTCCAGTACTTGAACAGCAGTTGGCCATGTGGTAGTCCAGTGCCTTAAGTACCATAACCACCTGCTAGCCCATCCTTATTTTCTTTCAAGCTTCTTTGTTAGAATAATTAAAAAAAACCTGACCTACCAATTATTTTTGGAAGATAAAATATATAAAGTTAACAAGTATGTTTCACAAACAAGGGCAAGTTAACCAATCTGCTAGGTTTCTCTGTTAATACATGCCACTACTTCAGCTTTCCTAATACATGGTTACTAGGTGGAAGGATGGTTAAATGAAGTCCATCCAGAGAAACTTCTCCTCCGTTCTCCTCTTGGGATCTTGGGCACGCACGCACATGCACCCGGTGTGAGTTTTAAGCCACCGGGTCCAGGACACAAACCATGGTCGACTACACGGGAGTCCAGCAACATAGCCATTACACTAACTGCTGGTCCTCTAGATAGGATTTTGATAGGGGTTGTTGAGTTGAGTTATAGATCACTTTGGGCAGTACTGTCATCTTTTTTTTTTTTAATTCAGTTATTTATTTAATTTTATGTATTATTACTATTTTTAAAATTTGCTACAGGGCACCACGTGCACTCACTAGAGAAAGATGAAGAGAAGGAAAGTGAGAAAGCAAGGAGGCACCAGGTCTGATTGGAATCAGAGTTAGCCACAGGAGAGTCCAGCCCCTTAACTGTCGCACTACCTTGCTGGCCCCTATGGCATAGTTTTACAAGGCACGTCTATGTGTATAATAATCAAATCAAGAATATACACATACGCATGTCCTTCAACACTGAACATTCCATTCCATTCCAACTTATCTTCTGACCTCATATTAAAGCATACCTTCCGAACATCAGAACTTTTGGGTTCTGTCGTCCAAGTGATGACCCGAGACACTGCCAGGCGAGTTTCACTGGAATTTATAAAATCTCCAGGATCCATCTGTTTTGCCAGAGTTTCTATGTATTTAAGGATAGCAACCTTCACCTGCAGAGGTAAGCGCAATGAGAAAGGAAAATAAAATGGTCACTGTGAGACACTGGACAACACTTCAGAAATAATCAAGAGTTTATTTTTTGACAAACAGAAAATGAACAAACAATATCAGCAAGTAAAAGAAATTATACAACCACATACCTACCTGAGATACAAGTATGTGATAATGGAGATGATTTTTGTTTTTCACACACATCAGAACTTTTAGATTCCAGGAGTTTCATTTCCTGAGTTTGAACAACTACTTGACAAGAGTGTAAATTTCCCCTTGAACCTGAGTACAGACCTTATGGCTGATCCTTTTTTTTGAATTTTAAAAAATTTATTTATTCATTTATTTTTTATTTGACAGAGAGAGACAGAGACAGAGAGAGAGAGAGAGAAAGAGGGGACATGAGAAAGCAAGCCACCAGGTCTGGGACCTGAACCGTGGTCAGCCATGTGGGAGTGCCCAGCACCTTAACCACCATGCCACCTGCTGGTCCCATGGCTGATCCTTGACTAGTCTCATGTGGAGCCACCATTATCAATTCATTGTAAATTCATTTTTGAAGAAATAAATGAAGTATTTTGGAAACAAAACTGGTAATCAAGGTGGGCCACATAGGGTTTTTTTGGGTCAATATTCAATAAGAGTCATACAATGAGATCAGGTTCCTTAATAGGTCCACCGACTGTTAGAACTGCCTTTCAAAAAAGTGCCACAAAAGTTTTATGCAAGTACTGTTGGACAAAAGACAATACTTACTTGTATAAAATATTATCTTTTGTGGGCTTTAAAAGTCTCATTATTCTCTTAGTGATTCTTTTTTTGAAAAAAAAAAAAAAAGAATTATTTATTATTATTTTAAAATTTGCTATAGGGCACATGTGCTCACGAGAAAGAGAAAGAGAGAGAAAGTGAGAAAAGCTAGCCACCAGGTCTGGGGTTTGAACCACAGTTGGCCATATGGAAGTCTCATGACTTAACCACCATTTCATCTGCTGGTCTCTCTCTTAGTAAATCTTGGTGTGAATTTACTCAGTCTTCAAAATCAGCACATAGGCTTCTTTTTAGACTGTGTCATTTTTATCTTTATAGTAAGTTACTGTTAAATTATATTTCCTCTCTCAAGTATACTGGGACAGATAAAAAGTGGCTTACAATTACTGTTTTTTATTTTTAAAAAATTACTTATTTATGTTTTTGCTATAGGGTGTGTGTGCTTGCTGGAGAAAGACACTTTCTCCCCCGAGAAAGTGAGAAATCACCCCCTAGGGGAGATGGCCACAACTCAATCCCTTCTCTTCTTGGGATTCTGGGCACATGTATATGTACATACGTGCAGCCAGAGTAATTTTCAAGCCACTTGGTCCAGGACTTAAACTGTGGTTGGCCATGTGGGAGTCCAGTGTCCTGACCACTATGCCATCTGCTGCCCCACCCTTTTATAAATAGAGGAATTATTTTATTTGAATCTTTAACTTTTTCTGAGACATTTTTGCTATAGTGCATGTGTGTTCACCAGAGACAGTGAGACAGAATGAGATAAATCACTCCCCAAAGGGGAATGGCCATGGCACAATCCCTTCTCCTTCATGTTTCTCTGTGGATGTTGGGCATACATGCACATGTGCCTGGCATGAGTTTTAAGTTACTGAGTCTGGGACTTGAACTGCTGTTGACTATGTGGAAATCCAGTGACGGAACCATTATGCCATCTGCTGGTCCCGAATCTATCACTTTTTCTGGGGGGAGGTTTGCCATAGATGTGTGCACTTAATGATAGAGACAGAGAGAGAATGTGAAAAATTACGCCCCCTTAGCCCCTGGGGGGGATGGCCATGCTACACTCCTTTCTCCATTTTCTTGTTGGGATTTTGGTCACCTAAGTATGTGCCCAGTATGATTTCCAAGACACTGAATTTGGGACTTGAATCGTGGAAGGCCATATGGAAGCTCAGCACCTTAACCACCATGCCACCTGCTGGCCCCCTTTTAAAAAATTTTGCCAGAGGATACATTTGCTCCCCAGAGACAGAGACAGGGACAGAGGGAGGACAAAGACAAAGCACATACCCCATGGGGAAAGGTCATGCTGCAATCCATTTTCCACCTTTCTACCCTGTCGGGATTTGGGGCATGCACACACATGTGCCTGGCATATTTCTGAAGTTACTGGGACCAGGAATACAACCTCAGGGTAGGCCATGTGGGATCTTGCTGCCTTAACTACCAGGCTATGGAGCTCATCTGGAGAACCGCTATTTTCAAAGTCACATATCCCAATACTGTAGGATTTCTAAATGACAATTCTCTCAGGGTTTACTTGTATATTCCGTTTCTTTAAAGAATTAATTTTGGGGCTGGCCCTTTTAGCACAGCAGTTAAGGGCTATGCATGGAAAGCCAGTTCCCAAAGGGCTGACTACAGCTGAGATCTAGCCCTGGGGGCTTGAGAGACACACCGTGTAAATGCCTTGATGGGACAGAGAAATAGAGGAAGGCGAAGGTGAACTGTGATGTGGCCATGCCCCACTGGGGAGTGTGCTCTCTTCTTGGCGAGTACACATTGCCTTCTGGCAAGAAAAACATCACATTTTATACTGATAAATAGCAACTGCATTTATTTAGGGCATACCATATATGTACATTTTAGAAATACGTGCACATTGTGGAATGGCTAAATTGAGTTAATTACTATCAAATAGGTTCTTTTATATACTTATTTTTTGCAGTGAGAACCCATAAAATCTACTCACTCAGTGATTTTATTTTTTATTATTATAGAGTGAAATGGTCTCTATAGATAAGTAAACAACAAGTCTATCATCTCAATTACCCCTTTGTGTTTAAAGCTGTATATGGCAAGAATACCTACAATCTGCTGTTTCAGCAAAACCCTCAAGTACAATACAAATGAACACAGTCATGTGGGAGTCCAGTGCCCCGGTCACCATGCTACCTGCTGGCCCCATATACACTTTCAATATATGTACATATATTGAAATCTCTATTATAGTTTACAGTTTATCATGTATTATAGATAATAATGATTAAAACGATAAGTTTTGTATTCTCAGAAGTGCCTGGTACAATGTCTTGGATGTAAAATGAGTTCGAAAATATTTGTCAATAATATCAAGTAACTTATTCTTCTGTAGGTCATTTTTCAAAATCAAAACAGATGGAACCCCTTTCACCAAGCAGCCCTGAGAAAAATAACAAAATGTTGAGTGAAAGTCAACTCTAGTAAGAAACAAACTTGTGATTTTTAAGGCACAATTGCATTCAGAAATTTAAGGGAAAAATACTCCTGGGCAGTAATGCTTGTGGAAATACATTTCGTGCAGAATAGAGCAGAAAAACATAAGACTTGTATAAGTATATATGCTTGTTATTTCCCTGACTTTAATCTTATTTAATCTTTTTTTTTTTGGTAGAGAGGATTTTGCTATAAGAGCATGTACACTTGCCAGAGAAACAGAGAGACGGAAAGTGAGAAATCACTCCCCAAGAGGGATGGCCATGCTGTAATCCCTTCTCTGTTTTCCTCTCAGGATTTTGGGCATGCACGCACACGTGCCTGGCATGATTTTTAAGTCGCCAGGTCTAGGACTTAAACCATGGTCGACTATGTGGGAGTCCAGAGACGTAACCATTATGTCATCTGCTGATCTCATAATCTTAAAATTATCTAAGAAAAACATTTTTGGTAAAGAATTCAGGAATTCTTTTATATTTTATTTTTATTTTCTATGTTAAATTTAATAATAATTTTAAATCACAAATCAGAATCCTCCTAGTTTTCAAAAAAATTAACTAGAAAATGTGTACAAATAAAAACTGAAAAAAGTTAATCTTGATTCCAAATTTTATGCACACATCTGAAATAATATACTCAAAGAAAAAAAAAAAAGAACCAAAAAGCAAAAGTTATTATTTCCATTAAGGAGAATTAGACATTATTAAACATAAAAAAAAAAATTCTGTTTACTATTTACTCTACAGCTATTCTAACTCCTAAAAAAATATTGGGAAATCACAAACATAAAATTAGGTAAGACTTTATAGAGCGAGTTTGCATTACCAGCTTAAGGTTAGATGGCCATACTTGTGATGCCTTCTAAACGTACATCCCCAGTAAGCTTCTCCAAAGGACAGCCTGGCATTTGAATAACATATGAAATCAAATATGTGCATGCGTAAAGGCTTTCGAAGGTTAGTAGTTGAATATAGATGCATACAAACATTATTTGAAACATCACAAAGAGAGTTAAGAGAAGAAATAATGCAGATTAAAATAAAAACAAAAAACCTTGGAGCTCCAAAAAGAGTGAAGCTGGTCCCGAAGTGCTGGCTTGACTGTCTGAAAGTTTATAAAAACAAAACCCACTGATTGAATAGCTGCTCATGTGACAGAAATACAAATATTGACGTAACTTTATTGATAAAGTACTTAAAGTCCTTACAATGTCTTCAAGAGACTTTACATTTTTACCTTTAAGCTTGGCGTTTGGGTCTGATCAACTGTAAATCTCATTAGAATATTGAACTGAAGATCATTTGGAAAAGATTCTCTGAAATAACAAAGCAAAGCAAAACAAAAACTAAGTCAGCAGGGAAACATCTAGTAAACTTAATCACAACAGACTATGCTTAGTTCCAAAACATACTGTAATTCAAAAAGCATGCATAAAGTAGTATCTGCATATGGTATAGTCTATGTGGTAAAGTATATAATAAAAGCATTCCCAGAAGAATATGAACATTTGAATTTAAACCCAGTACAGGGTTAAGAAGCAACACTATAGTAAATAATAGTCTATCTTGCCTCAACTATAGATTTAATTTAAAAAAAATGAATTTAGTAAAAACTTCAACATTCTCAGAGATGTTTCCCCACACCTAGAATCTGAATTCTAGACTCACCTCAACTTAGTAAATGGATATTTGAAATAAGTCACTTCAACAATCTACACGAGAAAGTAGAAATATATCATTGGTTCAAAATCTTCTGAAAAGAGATTCTGAATATTTAAATGCATAATAACATTTTTAAAACTTAGGAAACACTTCTATTTTTACATCAGATTGAATTAAATCTTCAAACCTACTTTGCAGATATAGCATAATTAAGATAAAATATCTTCTTGAATCACTCAAAATTATTAACAAAATTTTACAAAAGGAGGGTCTGATCTAAGGAACAACGCTGCATTAAATATACAAATGTGAATGAGCACATTTATGATTTTCTAATGGAGCCCGCAGTCTAAACTGTTTGAAGGAACTTAGAAAACTAAACTTTTAAAAAATGAATTATTAGTTTAATTGATTAAATTATTATTATTTAACTTGCTATAGGGTAGGTGTGCTCCACCAGAGAGGGACAGAGAACGAGAAAGAGTGAGCAAGAGAGAGAGAGAGAAAGAGAGAGAAAGTGAGAATGCAAGCCGCCAGATCTGGGAATCAAACCATGGGCGACCACGTGGGAGTCCAGCACCTTAACCACCATGCCACCTGCAGGCCCCAGAAAACTACACTTTTAATAAAAGGACTAAATGTTCCTGATTATTACTGAATAAACTTGAAGTATATAAAGAAAACATTACCTTGTAACATCAAGGGCTTTCTGAACTTTTGCCTGAACAGACCCAAGCAAATCAGCACCCATTTTTTTTAGTAGTTGTGTCAACAGTACAAACAACCAGTCTTGAAGATCATCTTTGTGGACTTGTATGAAATCTACCAGTGTCTCCAAGAACATGCTGAACACCTATAGACGATAATGGGGAAAGGTGGGGAGAAAAAGGAGGAAATATTGACCTCTATGCTCAATTCGAAACGGAAATGGAAAGGAATACAGGAATCAGAGGCACAGCGATTGGCAGCCAAGCAGAAAAACAATCTCTCTTGCTTTTCACTGGACTCTGTGATACAAGAGTACGTTTGAACTGTTATCCAACTTCGGCAGAAGTTCGACAATTAGCTATTCCATGCAGCATCACTTGGTAAAGAAACTTTAGCCATAATGGCTGGCACACCTAATGTTATCAACGAAGCCACAGTGCACACTGTTGAACTGAAATCCAGGTGGTATGAAATACCGGGAAGGAAACTACAGTCTGATTCTCGGCCGTGGAGAAGAGTGGCACTGCGGAAATCACAGGAGGACTATACTGATGGCCACCTTAGAGCACAGAATTGATCTGACGTAATAGATTTCTCACAGTGACAATTGCTGCAATGTTTTGGTATGAGATATATTATTTACTAAGACTGCCCCAAATGTAATGAAATGATCTAAGATAAGTGAACTTATGTTCACAAGTGATACATCTCATTAAAATACAGTGACCTACAACATGGTTATAAGAAATTCAACATACGAGAAAATTTAGTTTTATATAGAGTAAAATACTCTTAAGACTGTTAGCTATGCTGTATTATAAGAGAAATTCAAATTACAATAGATGATAGAAACAAAGGTTTTAAAAGTTTATTTCAAAAGTAATCTCAGATGTCAATTGAGAATTAAGAACTTTACTTTCAATGTATACGTATTCCTGGAATTTCCATTATACGTGAACTCTGTTTTTTTTTTTCTCTTATGTTAAAAATGAAGGATTTTCTCTATAATAAGTAAGATTTTAGCATTTAAATTTGATTTTAAAAATAAACAATACACTATTTGCTTAAGTTGCCCTATACTCTTAAAAGCAGAAACAGACTACTTTCAATTTTCTAGCAGTCTCTGGTCCCAGGTTTTGTGTCTGCTTCCACTCTTCTTACGCACACTACTTTCAATGTATACGTATTCCTGGAATTTCCAGTATACGTGAACTCTGTTTTTTTTTTCTCTTATGTTAAAAATGAAGGATTTTCTCTATAATAAGTAAGATTTTAGCATTTAAATTTGATTTTAAAAATAAACAATACACTATTTGCTTAAGTTGCCCTATACTCTTAAAAGCAGAAACAGACTACTTTCAATTTTCTAGCAGTCTCTGGTCCCAGGTTTTGTGTCTGCTTCCACTCTTCTTACGCACACACAATCTCTGGCCTTCTCCTCAGGGCGCAGAATATTGCTAAGAATCTTCACTAGACCTAGCCTATGACGAGTGTAATCTGGTATTCTACTGCCTCGCAGATCTGTCCAGCTGTGTACTGGAGTCACTCTGTAGATCTTGGGCATGCACTCACAGATGCCCAGCGTGAGGTTTAAGTCACTGCATCCTGGACTCGAACCATAGTCAACTACGTGGGAGTCCAGAGACGTGCCTCTTAGTCTACTGTTAAATATTCAAGAATTCTGTGAATTGGACGTTAGCTTGAAATCTGCCATGGTTGTAGTATTTACACCTCAGAAACTGGCACCCACTATAAATCAGGGATTTCTGTTCTCCCCCCAAAGCTGGTCTATCAGCATGCCACTCTTAATTCTTTGATTCACTTTTATCCTTGTTTCAGCTCTTGCTTATTCTCCTAAGGACTTCAACTTTAAGCTTTCTTATATGAAAGTCTATTCTGAAAATTATAGACATTAGAATGCCTAAGTCAACTTTCACATTTTATGAACGAGGAAACAGAAAACTAAGTGACTGAAAAAAAAAAAGAAAAAGGAAACGGAATGACCTGTCCAATGTTTCACAGGTATTCAATGGCTGCTGTGCCAGGACCTAAAGCTATGACAGTTGGTTTCCTCTTTTGAGAGGTTTTTGCTATAGGGTGCGTGCGCTTGCCAGAAAGACAGAGAGAGAGACAGAGAGACAGAAAGTGAGAAATCACCCCCCAGGGGGGATGGACACGCCGCAATCCCTTCTCCTCCATTCTCTTCTTGGGATCTTGGGCATGCACGCACATGCGCCCAGCATGAGTTTAAGCCATCAGATCCGGGACCTGAATCACAGTCAACTACATGGGGAGTCCAGCGTCACAGTCATTACTCCAACTGCTGGTCCCGGTTTTCAATTGTGTTTTATCCAGTCTTGACCTAGATGACTGACCTCAATACTTTACTGTCTTTCAACATGAAATTCTCCACTGAGTTTTCTCTCAGTATCATTTCTTTTATGCTTATCCTTCTAATAATCAATTCTTCAAGGACAAGTCAATTTTATTCTTTTTTAAGGCTAACCTTTCTATTCTATATTCTTGCTCCCTCTCCTAACTTTACTTTTACATTCTCTAATGTAATCCTTTGATTACGGCTTAAGACACTACCCTGAGAATTTCACCTTCAACTTCCACCCTGCTGCTCCCACCACTACCTCCTAATGGTGATGTGCCATAGCTTTTTCATAAATTTAGTATGCTTGGCCACTGTGTAGCCTGTCACTGCTTTCTTCTTGCTATTTCTCTTTTTTCCTTTTTTTCTTGTCAGGAGTTCTCCTTCTGCGTCTTAAATATCTCCATCCAAATTTTCTTTTCATCACAAGTGTGAACTCCTTGACAGAGACTCCCTGATCTAGCCTATGAGGCTCAAGACCCTCTAGAATAACTGTTATTTGGCCTTCCCCAAATCTGTTTATCACAACATTTGTTACAGGCCTCAAGCCTTTCTGACCTCCAGTCTAGATTTCCATAGTAGCCTGATTTTAGCCTTTATACTTCCTGTGCACCAAGGGTCAGCAAACAATTTCTTTCTTTTTCTTTTGTTTTGGAGAGGTTTTTTCTATAGGGCACGTGCACTTGCCAGAAAAGCAGAGAGAGGCAGAGATTCAGAAAGTGAGAAATCACCCTCTGGGAGGATGGCCATGCCGCAATCCCTTCTCCTCCACTGTCCTATTGGGATCTTGAGTACGTACATACATGCGCCCAGCACGAGTTTAAGCCACCGGGTCTGGGACTCAAATTGTGGTGGACTACCCGGGAGTCCAGCGACATAGCCATTACACCATCTGCTGGTCCTGAGCAAACAATTTCTATTAAAGGCCAGATGGTAAATAACCTAGGTTTTGCAAGTCATGAGTCTTTCTTTCAACTACTCAACTCTGCTGTTGTAGCACAGCCATAGATGCTTAATTATAGATGCAGAAGACACGAAACAAATGAGTAAGTTAGCATGGCTGTATTACAATATAACTTTACTAGGCAGATTAGGCCTGCAAGCAGTAGTTGGCCAACTCGTGCTTCTTGCCCACCATTTGAATGTGGTATCACTGTTTTCACTGAAATGGTATCATCAAACGTGCCTTCACTGTTTACAGCCTGTCTCAAACCTTTAGACAAGGTTCTGACTCTTCAAACTGATCTTGAACTATCTAGCAACATGCACTCTTTATTTCTGAGCACGGATCTCTCAGTACCTTTCTTTCCCACACGCCCTGGCCTCCTGCCATGTACTTCCTTCCACTCCACGCATTTACACACATGATAAATGCGCCGTTCACCACTCAAGTCCCAGACAAGAAGCTTCCTGGACTACTATAGCCACTGATCTTCCTACTTGGAACTATTTCCAAATGGTGTTATTTAATATTTTCTGTATTTATATTATACTACCTTTTTATCTAGAACATAAACCATTTGAGAATAAAGATTGTATTTCTCTACAGTCTTGTATTACCAATGAGAACCAAGCTCGAAGTTATCAGAGGCTGAGGATCCAATGAAAATTGTTTCTCTTAAGCGAATTTACTCTAACTGGTATGAAACCTTTTTCCTCAATGCAAGGAAAGACCTTCCCTTTATCCTTGCCAACATTCATTTCTTTTCTTTTCTATACACTTCTGGCATCTTTTTCTGGACTCAGGCCAGCTATTCCCAGGAGGCCCTTTCTTCTGTTGACATATTCTAAACTTACATTCCTGTGAAGATCTGAACTATTATTTCTTTCGAGAAGATTTCTCTGAGTCTCTTAAGTACAAATTGCTTTTGATTAGATCTAACATGAGTAACAGAACATAAAAATGTAGCTGGGTTATCTATATATTCTACATATAGGATTATATTATTACTTTTCTAAAATACTTATATCCTATCAATGGTACTCAATGATTGTACACACATACACACACACACATTTATACAGCTCTCTCTTCATATCCATACCCAAAATATACTGAAAATTATATACAAAGTTTCTTATTTGGTTGTCCTCCCACAAAGAGTTCCTGTCAGACATCGATATTCTACCATTTCCTTATCTATGATAAGGAGAAACGTGAAAGTGGACATACTAATACTGGGATAAAAATTTTATTTCAGGAGAGAATGGAGAATCGAAGTTCTATAATCTGCTCTGTTTTAATAAGATGACATTAATACATTATTAGAAAGTATACCTGGGGAGGTAGGAGCTAAATTTTTTAAAATAATTATAAACCTGGGAATTATTTTTAAATAACTCAGGGGAGGCAATCTTTACTGGAATCAATTTATGATTCCATATATCTCATGACTGTGACCTGTAGGAGAATGAAAAGAATCAAGTTATTACAATTGAGGCAGCCTTTTTAACTCACTTATATCTTAGGTGTGCCAGTCATCAAATACAGAACAGAAGAACATAATCAAATTAGATTAATTAGTAGATTAAAAAGCACATCTCCAAACAGAATGACAGTTTGCATAACTGCAAATAGCATTTCGTGGATTGCAAAGGGTCCAACACTGCATGAACTCTTCGGGAGAGAAAAATAGAGAAAAAGGGTTAATTTCGGTCATGCAATATAGTTAGGTTTCCAACAAATATTGAACCAACTTACTCTCTATTGAGAGTTCCAACACAGGGGACAGCATGCAAAAAGAAAAAAAGAAAAAAAAGAAAAACACACAAATTAGTCGCCATCAATGCCAAGTTCCTGTATGAAAGAAAAACACTTAGAAAATAAAAGCGACAATGTTTTTTCAAAGTTTTATGATAAACTCAAAACAGTGTTTAAAATAAGAGTTAAATGAATAGTATGGGAGAAGAGCGTATGATTTTCCTGTGTGTCTCTTTCACCTCCTTGTCAAGGAAATTTTAAAAGCTAAATATTAAAAACTCTTCTTTTACAGTCTTTACTATCCTTGAGATGCAACTTCTGGAATGAACTCAAGAATAATACTCTTATTTCTGAGGAGTACCAACATCTGGTTCCAAAGAACAGTACCTAAAACTTTTTCTCTTTTACCCCCTTCAGAAACAATATGTTGACAAGCTAAATTATTTCTGTGAAGGCTTAGAACAGTTACTATTGTTTAGGGGGAAACAGTAAATTGTTTATACCACAATCTTATTTTCTCCAGGTAAGATGTGTGTTATGATGTGTTGATCCAAGAACTACAGGCAACTGAGCTGCCTGGAACACTTCATCAGGAGAGCAGATGGGACCTTCTAAGTAGGTCTCGTAACTGTGCTCTATTTTAGTAGGCACAGATTGAATTCCTACCCTAGTTGGCCAAGATCAAAGAGAAAGATTCAAGATGTAGGACTACCAAGACGTCAGAAAGATCATAAAAGGCCAACTCAAAGTATGTACCTCAGTGAAAGTGGCTCTTTTCAGAGTTCCTTTAGAGTGGAATAGTTTTTGACATCTGACGCTGCTTACATTTAGGGGAAAATAATGGGTCCAGAACAGTCAAAATAAAAACTCTGCCCTGAACTTAATTCTAAAACTTATTTTATTTCTTTTTAACTTTTTAATTTTCAGTTGAGTGTGTATACTTACGAAAGAGAGAGAGAGAGAGAGAATATTCCCCAATGGGGTGTAGTCATACCACAATCCTACCCATCAGGATTTTGGGCACACATGCACAAGTATCCAAGATTCCAGGGCTGGGATTTGAATTGCAGTTGGCCATGTGAGATCTGGCTCCCATAACCAGTGAGTTACAGGGCTGGCTCTAAATTTGGTTTATAAAAACTTATAAGAGCTTTACATATTAATTTACTTAGTCGTCATCATAATTTTATAAGGTGAGTATTACTATGAATTCTGTTATACAGATTAAGAAACCAGAGCACACACTAATAAGTGTTGGAAATGAAATCTGAACCTAAACAATCTAGTGTCCGTATTTGTGGTGACTGTGTCATACTGCTTCTCTTATTTTTAAATTTTTATTTATTATTTTTTTTAGAGGTTTTTGATATAGGGCACGTGTGCTCGACAGAAAGACAGAGACAGAGACAGAAAGCGAGAAATCACCCCCCAGGGGGGATGGCCACACCGCAATCCCTTCTCCTCCATTCTCCTTTCAGGATCTTGGGCACATACGCACATGCGCCCGGCATGAGTTTATTTTAGCCCCAGGGTCCGGGACGTGAACTGTGGTCAACTACATGGGAGTCCAGCGACATAGCCATTACGCTAACTGCTGGTCCCCATACTGCTTCTCTTAAAGTATTAAAAGACTTCACATTATATATTTGCTACTGTATGATCTAAATTACTGTCGTAGGTATATGGTGATTAGGTCATACAGGCATATGAAGTAAAGAAAAAGTTCATTTATGGAATTATGGACATTTAATAATTTCAGTTTGTAAACTCTATCAATCCCATTTCCCCTGTCCCAAGAAAAATCCCACACCTACTTCCACTGTATTTATTTTCTAGCTCTTCCTTTCTGGAATGTCTACACTGCATACTGGAACACGCCTGATCTTTTAGTTGGACAGGCCCTTAGTCTAGAAAAACACAAGGGAAAAATTCTGGGGGCTGGAGAAGGTGGTCCTGGCTAAAAGGAAGTGCACACGACCTGGTTCTGTAAGTGTCCTGTTTCCACTGAGGCCAAAAGGCAGTTTCAGCCATGTTGGGTAAAAGTGAGAACGACTTTCACTTGTCTAGGAAGCCAGCTACTGTCCAGAAGCTGTTAAGGAAGAGATTGAAATTGTGTATCCTTGAGTAAGAACATGGGAAAATCCACCCAGCAAAAAGTTCATGGTCTGAGGTGTCTCCCAAACAGTGAGGCTTCATATAATCTCTTATCTGTGAACTTTCAGCATAGCTGAGGTTAAAGGTAAGCAATTCCAGTTCAGTGTGGAGATCAAACCTAAGCTGGATGAAGATGTGCTACTGAAGTGGACCCCACTGATGCTGCGTTGGGAAAGGAGGGGAAGTGTCCCTGGTAACGTATTTCAAGACTATCAGGAAAAGTGCATTGCATATTTTGGAAAACTAACATAATTTAGGCTGGGTCAGGAGGGAGAGTGTTTAAGCTGTACATGACACACCCTTTAAATCTTTCTCTGCGTGAAGCTGTGTTGTTAGCTACACGAATATGTATTCTGCTAATATGGTCTCATCTGCTCCGTTTTCCAGGAACTTCTTATAAATTTCCAATTTGCTGCTTAATATCCTTTTTTCCCCCACAACTGTACTGTGGGTTATTCTTTATGCAGTGCGCCTCCTCTGTTATTTTAACTAACCTGATATGGGAGAGGAAGAAAGGTATATACTGGCATTCTAATCAATTTCTCTCACACCCTTTCTTTCTAGAAACCTCTCTCTCTGGTTTTCCTAATGTTGGTGCTGCGTAGGCCCTCTTTCTCTCTCATGGAAAAATAAACCAAAAACAAAAAAACTGTAGATGAGATATGGAGACTGGCAGGGACATAAAGGGAGGAAGGTGTGAATTCTCACTTTCCCTCTCTCTTCAGAGAGTGCATGTGCCCTATGGAAAAGCCTATTAAAAAAAAAAAGAGGAGGGACCAGCAGTTGGTGTAATGGCTATGTTGCTGGACTCCCATGTAGCCAACCGTGGTTCGAGTCCTGGACTCGGTGGCATAAACTTATACTGGGCATGTGTGCGTGCGTGCCCAAGATCCCAAGAGGAGAATGGAGGAGAAGGGATTGTGGCATGGCTATCTCCGCAAGGGGTGATTTCTTGCTTTCTGTCTCTTTGTTTCTGTCTTTCTGGTGAGTGCATGTGCTCTATAGCAAAAACCTCTCAAAAAAAATGGTAATGTGCTATAAAGAAAAAAACTCTCAAAAAAAAAAAAAAAAAAAAAAAGAAAAAAAGAAAAAGAGGGGAACAAAAGGAGCATATCTGTTATTTTAATAATATTAGGATAAAGGTAAAAACTAAAATCAAACCCTGACATTAAAAAGTCAGCACAGTATAGTGACACATCCAATTCCATTGTCCTCTTGGGACCTTGGGCATGCACGTGCACGCATGCAAACGCACCGGGTGTGAGTTTCAAGCCACCGGGTCCGGGACACGAACCGCGGTCGGCTACATGGGAGTCCAGAGACACAGCCACTATGCCAACTGCTGGTCCCTCAAAGTTGACTATTAAATAGACTATTAATTAAAATGTTTAAGAAAACAGGCTTACCCAGATAAATGTCTCATCTTTCACTTTACATTGTCAACTAAAATATCAATCTGTTCAGATTTTACACATACTTTTGCATTAAAATAAGACCTACAGCTAAATCAGTGCTAACAATATAAAAATGATGGCTTTTTACATGCTTAGTTTGAAAGTTATAAACTACAAACTTAGTAAAGAAACTGCATACCCAATGTATTTTCATCTTTGTCTTTTTATAGGATTTTTTCATCGTCAGATAAAATAAATATACCTCTGAAAGAGGATAATCTTTAAAAAATACTGTTTTAAAATATAAGAAAATATAAGAAATTTATTTAAATATTTAAGTATATACCCTATTGGATTTAAATCTTTACCTGGATTTTAGCTTATGAATAAAACAGGACTTCACTATCTTTAGGTAGTGTTGTTAAGTAATAAAAATATATAAAGTAGAAAAAAATGAGAAAATGATGTGTGTAATGATAATGACAATAAAAAAAGGAACACAATAAAGTGAAATTCATTATTATTGTTCTTATAATTTCCTTGCCATAGCTTCCTCTCACTTAGGTTAGAAATTCACCTGTAGACACTTGGTGTCCTAAAGGAAGAAACTTAATAGTTTCAGCACTGTCAAACACATTGCTAGAAACAATAAACAAACATGTTTTTATAAGAGTACTATGCACCACAATAAACCAAAATTTCACAGTATACACACAGATTATGCACAACCAATTAATCAAATATATTGTAATCAACATTAAAAAATGAGCAAAGTTCTAAACAGTTATATGAACTTTTTTTTTTGAGAGATTTTTTGCTATAGGGCGTGTGCCCTTCCTAGAGACAGAGACAGAGAGAAAAAAAGTGAGAAATCATCCCCTAGGGGGATGGACACACTACAGTCCCCTTTCCTCCATTTTCCTCCTGGGATTTTGGGCACGCATGCACACGAACCCACTGTGTTTCAAGCTGCCTGGTCCAGGACTCGAACCATGGCTGGCCATGTGGGAGTCCGAAACCACAATCACTAGGCCACCTGCTGGTCCCTATATGAACTATTTCCATGTATGACATGTTTCTTCTTTTATAGTACAACTATGGCTAGAGTCCTATTTCATGCTCTTGTGTTATTTAATGGTCATTCTTTTCTACAAAATTATTCTTTCAAGGTAAGAACATATACATAATTAATGTTGTAATAATTACAGAAGAAAACAAAATGTTAGCAATTTTTTCAACTTACCCAATCATGTCCTTCACAAATAGTACAATATTTTTAGTCATTGAAAATACATCCCTAGCCTAGACGAGAGTCATGCTTGTAGCTCTACCTTGGTTTTCAGCCTTCCACAATCTCTCTGGAGAAGCTCAAATAGTTTTAAGAGAGTAATTCCTAAATTATGTATATCAAACACTTCATTTTAATTACATTTGAAAATATTACATAAATATTACTACCACTTGGGGCAATAACAAAATAACAATGGCTTCTAGTTTTCTGCTACTAGTTCACTTATTTTGGGGGCAATATGAGAGATGACACTCAACAGGAGTAAATAATCTTGAATTCCAAAAACATACCTTGCCATGAGGATCAGCAAACATTCTGGTGAAAATTTCACATAATCTTTTCAGTTCAACTCGACTGCCAAAACAACAAAGTAGCTCATTAATATCTTGCTCCAGGAAAAAGTCATTTAAAGGTACACCCTTACATATATAAATAAGCATCTTAACAATAACAAGGCGAAAAAAGTCTTCAATGATGGAAGAAAATTGAGAAGTTTGTGAGATTTTTTTTAGTTAGAACTAAATTCAGAGTTATAAAAGTTACAATTCTGTAGTGACTCATACAGGCTGAAAATTATGAAAAAAATTGTATTTTATAGATGTAGTAACGTTGCATTTATGTGGTATTCCCAGCACATAAATATTATCCATTTAAGTACTAAGTTATTTTCTTAATTTTGCCTCTAAGAAGCTAACATACTTCTCAAATATGCCGACTTCCTTGACATTGAAAATGACATAATGATCCTAATATCCACCTAATCTTGATATGGCTGGAACAGTATTAGGATGATTTACTGCAGTGATTCATGAAGTGTGACATACATACCTCCAAGCATATCAGGCAGTATACAGACACATATTCTGACCTACAGCATTCAAACACTTCCTAAAAGTTAAGAAGTAGCTGTCTACATTTTCCCTGTCCTCCCCACCACCAGATTTTTTGTTATAGGGCACGTGTGCTCATTAGATGTGGGGTGGTGGAGTAGCAATCCCTTTTCCTACATTTTCCTCTTGGGATATGGGGCACACAAGGGCCTGGCACATTTTTCAAGCTGTTGGGTCTGACTTAAACCCCGCAGTCGGCCCTGTGGGATCCAGCCACCCTAACCACCATGTCACCAGCTGGCCTGGCCTCTACGTTTTATTACACTCAAACTTAAGAGCTATCTGAGGCTAGGTACTTAAAGGCTGACTACAAAAGTTAAAAACAGTACACAGATAAGGACAATGAAGAATGCAGTGGTAAAAATACAAGCAAAAGTCATTAAGAAAGAAAACAAAAGCAAAAAGCCCAAAACCAAAATAAGTTTCTGTTGTAAGGGAAATTCACTCCAATGCCATTTCATATTATATTAAGATTTACCTATCACATGAACACTAAGAATATTTCTGAATAAACATAAAAACATTCTTTCTTCTCCATGCAAAACCTACCAGGAATTAATTTTGATAAACCAGCCAGACTTATTTTAATGTGCATTATTATTTATGTTAATTTTTTAAAGTAATAACATTTTTTCATTTAACTTCATTTGGTGAGTAAAAATGTCCCTTTAAAGTGTTTCTTCAATTAAAATTGGTCAACTAAACATTTTTTTTTTTTTCTTGACAGCTATGGTTTATAGATGGTTCTATAGGCCTGAGGCTTAGGGAAAACATTAGATTTGTAATCTTCTAAATTCAGGACAAATCTGTTTGCATACCCAAACTGTTATAGAAACAAAGAGAAGAAAGGCAATTTTTAGGGTGCTAAACTGACAGGGTCATGATTTTCAGACAACATGTCTCACCTGAGTGTCCTCTGGTTTTTTAATAAGTTCTGCAGACCCAGGAGGCCTTCCTTCCTTTCTGACCAATTGGAACTCGCACACCGATTGAGGACTTCCGCCACGTCTTCCGTCTGCCGCATGTACGTAGGAATACTGCCATTCCGAGAGCTGTAGGAACGTTCTGAGCACGCACTAGAGGCATCGCTGTTGGCATCGTCGTCTGAGTGCATTCCGTACGATTCGTATCTTCTTCGAGCAGGTTTTTTCTGGTATATATAAAGAGTCTCATTAGCAGGAGCTAAAATACATATGTTGGCATTTCACAATTGTTGCTGATCGCCAAAGAACTGATCTAGGTTTTAAAATCAGTGCAAAACATGCTGTAATCACTGTAATACTAAAATGGCAATATTCAGACTTTCTTCAGAAAATGTGTGGTAGAAGTTAACAGAAGGCAAAATATTCTTTAGCTATGGGAAATGGCTGAAGCAAAGTAAGACTCCCTGTAAATTCAGATACGTGAAGAGGGACTTGCTAAAAAGATGGTTCCCCCCTCCTTTCTCCTTTGTATGGAAAACCAGGAAGGAGGACTCAAATGTAAACAAACAGGAACTGCACTGGAGATCTGAGTGGGTAAGAAAAAGCGCTTCCTTTTCAAGGAAGAGTATGACGGGGCAGAACTGCGCATGCTTTCCCTCACGTGGAGTTCGTTTTTCCTTCTACCTCTTCTTTCCTCTATTCTTGCACCTCCACTACCTCTTCTGCCACTCTTCTTCCCAAGTACCCGACCCTCGTGTCTCCTAGAGAACTAATACAGAAAGGAGGACAAGAGACTGATGGCTTACTATAATTTTTAGGAGGCGACCTCCTTAGAGACCCTCCTTGCTTTTCTCAATGTTTCTATACCATTTATTTCAATAAATATGAGAAAGCATATTCAGAGTCCTTTGTTTTTTTTTAACCTGTAGGTTTATTATTAAATACATGAAACTGTCGACTGTAGCTTGCATATTAAGAGTGAAATGAGAGAGACAGAGCTCATTTGAGATTTCCTTGGGAGAGCTGGAAACAAATCTTTATATAATCTGGTATTTGAATTTTGGCTGGTGAGTGGTGAAACTATTTCTCTGAAACACATTGCTTTTAAGAAAGTTGTAGGTGGCTGTAAGTTCTCTGAAACCTAAAATCTAAAAGAAATAAATCTGAACTCAAAACACTTTCACAATGATACTGCCATCACTAAATGCTGTATATTGATTGATTTAGAGATGACTTAATTTAGATTGGCAGTACTGTCATGGGTACTGGCTGGGCTCCAGGACCAATTCTGGTGTAGGTATCAGTGAGAATGACCTCATCTCACTGGTGTGAAGCAGCCAGGCTGAAGAGACCAGCCTCCGTACAAGATCCTCTACTCAAGCGGTACTGTCCCTTCAATAATCATATTCACAGAAAACAGATGTATGTCTAAGGATTTCCTTACTCTCACTTTATTTTTTCTATGGAACATCATCATCTGCTAAGTTGATAAAGCAAAGAAAAGGAAGTTATGGTATCACAAGACGTCAGAAAACAGCGATAGCTATACCTTAGTCCGTATGTCTCCTAAGAGCTGAGAGCAGTGAATTTTTAAAAAGAAAAATTGAAAATAATGAAGAACATTTTGCTGAACAGTACAGTGAAGTAGGCATTCATAATGCCCATGATCATAAATATTAAGTTTTTAAACACAGAGGTACAAAAGAACAACTTAATAGTAAGCTATATATCTTTACTCTTGTTAATAACTTTTAGTTCAAGGAGAAATATTTAAGCCACAAAAATATTTCCATGACTAGCTTGCCACATTAAGTTAATTTTATTTGTATGATTTCTCCCAGGTTCAAACCAAGCTTAATAATTGAAAGGAAAAACATAAACAAAAAATAGTTTTTTCCAACAAACTTACAGTTATAATTGGAGTATCTGTGGTATGTAAACAATGGACATGAAAAGAATGACATTATTGAGATTCAGATTTTATCCTTAGTGGTTAAATATTCCTCACGTAATACAATACACACACACACACACACACACACACACATATATTTATTTATTTTATTTTTTTAAAGAGAGATTTTTGCTGTAGGGCACATGCACTTGCCAGAGACAGAAAGACAGAAAGAAAGCGAGAAATCATGCCCCAATGGGGATGGCCATGCCACAGTCCTCTCTCTGGATTTTGGGCATACACGCACATGTGCCTGGCATGAATTTTAAGCCTCTGGGTCCAAGACTGAACCACAGTTGACTACATGGGGTCCACACTATCTGCTGATTCCCAAATATTTTTTTTTTAATATGAGAGGTAGTACTTCAAGTAAAACCCACTCAATACAAAAGATTCTTGGGGCTAGCAGATAGTGTGGCTAGACTCCCACATGGCCAAGTCCCAGACCAGTGGGTTGAAAATCATGCTGGGTGCATATGTGTGTGTGCCCAAGGTCCCAGGAGGAGAATGAAAGAGAAAAGACTACAGGGTGGCCATTCCCCTGGGGGGTTATTTCTCACTTTCCCTCTCACTCTCTTTGTCTCTCTCTCTCCGGTGAGTACATACACCCTATGGCAAAAATCTCTTGCAAAAGAAAAAAAAAAGATTCTTACGATTTATATATTCAACTGGTAAATCACCTAATTTAAAAAACCTAGAAAACATGATTGAGAAATGTAGGGATGAGGAATAGTAAATTTAAAACATATAACTGATTCCATCTGATCTCATAAGAACAAAATGTGATCAATACAACCCGTAACCAAGAGAAGAAGTCCCTACTTAGTTATCAACTTATAAAAATAAAATCAAATAGCTGAGATGAAGGGAAAAATTCAGCACACATAGAGTATTAGAGCAGAATTAAACATGTAATAGCATTTGATAATTATAGCTATTACTAATGAACCTTTAAAAATTTATTTATTTATTTATTTATTTATTTATTTATTTCAATTTGACAAGAGAGGGACAGTGGGGGTGGGGAGTGAGAAAGCAAGCCACCAGATCTGGGACTCGAACCATGGTCAGCCATGTGGGAGTCCAAGCACCCTTAAACACTATGCTACCTGCCAGTTCCATGAATATATTTTTTAAAAACTTGTTTTTTAAACCAGTAGCAAAAACTGTATTATGTCAACAGTGGTTAAAATGTGATCTATAGGGGCTGGCAGGTGGTGCTGTAGTTGAGGCGCTGGACTCCCACATGGGCAACTGCAGTTCAGTTCCCAAAACCGGTGGCTTGTTTTCTCACTTTCCCTTTCTCTCTCTGGTCAAATGAAAACAAGAACAACAACAAATAAAATTTAACAAATAAATAATTCTTTAAAAAAATGTGACCTATAGTTTTAAGTAGCATAATATTGACATAATCTTAAAAAAGGAAGTGTCAATTTTTTTAAAAAAGAATTATTCTATTTATTTATTTATTTATTAATTACTTTTTCATGAGTTTGCCAGAGAAAGACAGAGAGAGAGGGAAGTCGAGAGAGTAAGTCGCCAGGTCAGGGATTCGAACCGCGGTTGGCCATGTGGGAATTCCAATGCCTTAGCCACCACGTCACCTGCTGGCCCCAGAAATTAGCCAAAACAAACTATATACATTATTCGAAATGATACTTCCTTCATAATTTTAAGCAAGAAAAATACTAGTAATCTATGTTTAGCACTCTCCTAACAAATTATCAGGAATCTCTAGAATATGTTCTTTTTTTCTTTAAAAAGAATTATTTTGTTTAGCTTTTTAAATGTATTTACTTATTTTAATTTTACCAGAGAGGAAGAGAGAGAGAGAAGGAAAGTGAGAAAGCAAGGTCTGGGACTTGAACTGTGGCTGGCCATGTGGGAGTCTAGCACCCTTAACCTCCATGCCACCTGTCAGCTCCTAGAATATGTTCTTAAACCTCACTGTTTAATGTGTCTGGCATAAAAAAACAGAAAAAAAAAAAGTTTTAAAAACTTATCAGCAGGTGTGCATGCTCACCAGAGAGAAAAAGAAAGTGAGAAAGCATGCCCCATGGGGCATGATCACGCCACAATCCCTTCTCCTCCATTTCACCCTCCTTTAGGGATTTTGTTCATGTTCACACATGCGCCTGGTATGGGTTCAAACAAGCTGCCAGGTTCAGGACTCGAAACACGCAATTGGCTATGTGGGATCTAGTCGCTTTAACCATCATGCCACCACCTGGCGTAAGAACCAGGAATTATATCAAGTTATAAGATATAATTATACCTTAATTGTAATTTATCTTAAGCCTGTACTTTCACTTAGCTAGGGAATTACAAATAATTAAAAGACTAAACAAAACTGGGACCAGCATATAGTGTAATGGTTACGTTACTGGATTTCCACATGGTTGACTGCGGCTGCAGCTTATAACTCAAGTGGGGGCACATGTGCATGTGTGCCCCAAATCCCAAGAGGAGACGGGAGGGAAGGAGACTGTGGCATGCCCATCCCCCCGGGGGGTGGTTTCTCACTTTCTATCTGTCTCTGCCTCTCCGGCGAGCACATGCACCCTTTAGCAAAAATCTCTCTCTTAAAACAAACAAAAAGACTAGGTAAAATCTGGCTTCAAACTAAAACAATCTCTAAGTACTAAAGGTTAAGCAAGCCCTGAAATTACATACTTATTAAGTATAAACATATTTATATACTAACCTATCTCTTACTCTCAAGATACTAAGTGCGTAAAACACATCACCACATCAAAGACATGAATATTTATATCTCTGACACCCCTTTGGTTATGACACCCCTTGGCCCTCACTTAAAATGAATAGTAATTAAGAAAGACCAAGAATTAATTACACTGCTCTGTTGTTTACAGTGGACACATTTTATCTCCCTGGATTTAATCCATAAGAGTCTTCCCATCCCACTTCTCCCATGAATGCATGGGCTTCCTCATACGTTCGTTTCATAACTGGAACATTGATAAAGATAAGGAAATGGGGGAGAGTACCAAGGCATCTGCTACTGCTTCCTCCACATCAGAGCCTGTGTTCAGGACTCGCATGGCACTGACAGAAGATGACAGGCGGCTTGATTGGCTGATTCCATACCCAGGACCTAATTCATTGAAAGAAGGAAAACGGCTTTCAAAGAGTTATAAATGTATCAGTGTCAGGTTGGGAAACTTTAAGATCTGTAAGTGGGGGAAAAAAAACCAATGGGGCAAAGCATTTTAAAAGCAATATTGTATTTTCTGGGCACATTTAACTTTTGGTAAAAGAAAAGCGTAAAGGCAATTAAAATTATTGACAATGTATGGAAAAGAAAGCTAAAGACTATACCTATTTATTAAGACCACAAGGTAGAAGAAAGCATGGCTGGCAGACTAAGGGCTTGGAAGGTGATAGCCCTGGAATTAATCCAGCGCTATCAGTCCAGGCAAATCTCATTCATATGAGTGAACCACAGAGTAACCCAGAACAAAGATCGATCCTCAACGGGGCATGGTTAGGGAGATCAATGAAGACACAACAAAAATTTACAAGGGAAATGAGCTCCAATGATTCTCCCCTCCTTCAAAATACACTGGTTTTATTCTACTAAGATAGATCATTTGATATCTGTTAAGTGTTTACTATGTGCCCAACATTCTGAGATACATAAAGACAAACCAGAGGTGAATCCTCCCCTTTTGGCTACTTTCTCTATCATCATTTACAATTAAAACACTTCATCCACCATTTTGGTTTTTTTTTTTTTTTTAAACACATATACGAAGATGAAGTACATAACCGAGAACATAAAACAATCCTATATTTAAAAATGACAAAACAGGTTATACAGAAGTATTCATTTATCAGTGAGCAAAATGCTTAATAAGGTTGCTGAAGGGGAAAAAGTTACATGGGGAAAAAGAAAAAAAAAAACACACAAATGATTTACTATCTAACAAGTTAAACTTAAATTAAAAAAATTAAAAATATGGATATTATTTCAATGGAAACTGAAAAGGAAAAATCTGAGATGAATGTATAGATGATAGTGAAAATGTACTCATCCTTCACCTGAGGCCCCGTACACATCGGGGGCGTAGAGGGCACCAGTAGATCTGGAATGGTGTCTGGAGGCTGGAATAACAGGACCATACAAACCTCATCTATTACCACAGAAACAAGGAACAGTGGCAGCACTACCGTCAGGCAAGGAGAGTTAGTTAACACTGGTATCACTCTGAAGAGTTCATCAGAACACTGCCAAACAGGGCCAGTGAATACTAGCACTGTACCATCCCTGACACACACATACATCTCACACCTAAGTGGACAGACGAAGGCCTACAGGAGACCCAAAAATAAAAAAGGCAAGTATTCAAATGGAAGGAAATGTTGAAAGTACAAGCATGAAACAAAAAAACAAACATTGTAGTTTAAAAAAAAAAAAAAACCACTATGGTAAATAGTAACTAATAACAATCTTTAATCCTGATCCCCAATGAGGCAGTTATTACTGTCCCATTTTACAGGAGAATGAGTAGGGAGGCACCGTCTATGAACCAGAAAACAGGTCCTCACCAGACACTGAAAATTGGCACTTTGGTGAGAAACAAATTTCTGCTGTTTATACCTAAGTAGCCAGTCTGTATTATTTTGTTATGAGTCCAAACAGACTAAGATCAATGGGGAAACTGAAGTATAGAGAGGTTATAATTTGATAAAGTCCACTAGTAAGTGAAAAACAAATCAGCATTTGTATTCTTTCAAGGTCTCTGCTATTAAACAGTACAGGTACCATGTTCACATTGCTCAAAGATAATACGTCTGATTTATGTTAACAGAAACATTTTCCATAATGACTTACAGATAAATTCTGCAATCAGAGGTAGATTATTCAAGTATCAATGTACATTTGAATAAAACCAAGAATATTAATAATTAAACCAAACAATGTAGAGACGTGTGATGTCTCCCTAAATATTGCTCCAGAATCTAAATTAAGCATATTTGCATTTTAGATATCAAAATCCTAATTTTTCATAATGCCACAAAGTCAATCTTTCTCAGATACATAAATAAATTGGCAAGAAAAATGCATTTTAATACTTAATGAAACATATAACTTTTAAAAAAAGTTATTCTGCAGATATAATAATTAAAGTAGTAAAACACTTTTATTACATGAATCACTCTTCCTTTGCTATAGGACAACCTTAATGAACAGGAAAACACTTTAAAAGATTGAGAGAAAAAAAGTAATTAAGAAGAATGCTGAATAAAATGCTTTACTAGCCCTGAAAAGTGATTTGTATCATTAGCAAAATATGGCTTTACTTTTACCTAATGGAAATCATTTCTAAAATGATGAGAAAGAATGAAATAAATCTGTTTGTGAAATTAATAGTTCTCTGTGGCTAAAGATAGTAAGGGGCACAACAGATGTCTGTAATACAGTGGCCTGCTTCTGAGTCTTCGTTTGTGACATAAGTAACACTACGAGGCAAGTTCCAGATGTTTGGCTTTGCTCAGCTCATGACTGACTGCTGATGCTTTAGGGCCCACACAATAGCTCATCACACAGGGGAATGTATTACAGTCTACGGGAGTCATGTGTGAATGGCGGTACCCAAAGTCACAGTGAGTTCCACCAAATGGCACAGCCAGGACCACAGATTGTGGGCAAATGTAACAAAAAATGGGAATGACTAGGACAATCTGTTTTCTATTCTTCATAAAAAAGAACAGAATTCTTAGAACAACTAGAATTCTTTAGAATACTTCTAAAATGAATTGAACTAATCCACCTTTGTTAGGCGATACCTATATGTAAATAAAGGGACTATAAAAAATAAATTATTTTGGCTGGCTGCATGGTCTGGTGGTTAGGGGGGCTGAACCCCATATGGCCAACTGTGGGGTTCAAATCTCGGCTCCAGCAGCTTGAAAAACATGCTGAGGTCATGTATGTGCATACCCCAAATCCCAAAGGATGACGAAGTGGAGGAGGGGAAGTGCTTTCTCCCGGTCCTTTGCTGTCTGCCTCTCTCTCTCGTGAGTGCACACACCAAAACAAAACTATATGATCAAAAGGCTTGATCACCTTTAGCCCAAATGGGAAGTTTCATGAGAATCATGAAAACTGCTTCCTTTAATAATAAAATTGAAGAAATTTTAATCATCAAATGAAAGACTAGATATAAATCCAGAAAACTAATGGCTAAAAATCGTAATTCTTAGACCAGCTGGTGGTGTGGTGGTTAAGGTAGCTGGATCCCACATGGCTTACAGCACAGTTCAAGTCTTGGACCCGACAGATTAAAAAAACATGCTGGGCACATGTTCAAGGGTGCCCAAAATCTAGGAGCAGAATGGAGGAGAGGAGATTGCAGTGTGGCCACACCCCCTGGAGGGGGGCTTTCTCCCTTTCTCTCTCTGGAGAGCGCATGTGTCCTATAATGAAATTAAAAACAAAACAAAAAAAGATATCTCTTTAAAAACGGGCATATTAACAATGTCTACTTTTTAAGTAGTTGACTATAAATTTCCCCTAATCTCTGACTACTATATAGGTTTAAGAGGTTCAGAAACACCTGTTTTCTTCTTGATATGTTTTCTAGAAATTCCACAGAATTATCATTGCATAAATGCAGGTCCTACACATGCTATTAAAAAAATCTGAGATCCTGGCCACTGAAGTGTAACACAACTGTACTCCTTTGGAGCATCGGGGGTTAGAGGAGGAACAGCTGTAGGAGCAGCAGCGGTAGCAATGATGGTGACCGCAACAGTCATGACAGTTGAGCGGTCACTGTGTAAAGCACTGTTCTGAGGAATTTTTCCATTTATGTTCTCATTTATAGAATCTTCAAAACAATCTTAAGACTGTTAATAATATGCTATTATTATCCTTGCTTTATAGGTGAGGAAACCCAAGTATGGAAAGGTTCTGGAGCTGGGATATAAATCCAGGCCATCTGACTCTACAGCGCTTGTTCTTAAACCACTCTCTATGTATTCACTCTACTTCCTTAACTCCTCAGACCACCGTGCTTATTTTATATGAATATAGAATGTATTTCCCCTCTTTAAATATCTATGAAGAAGCACCATATACATGTATGTAGGTATGGGGGTGTGCATGCACACCCACACAGACATTTGATAGGCTAACTATATTGTATCTGAAGTGAAAATATCTCTGGCAAAGTATCTGCCATATGTGGCCTTAGTGGGGCTGACCACTTCTTTTTATCTTGCTTGGCACCATCCCATAGGAGAAGAAAGAGAGGGAAACTCTTTGGCACCTCGGGATGGAACATAAACAAAGGTTGAGGATATCTCTAAGTCGCTGGCATAATAAGAGTTTTCTAAGTCAGTACAGTCTAATGATATGTTTGAGCTAAATGGATCAGAGAATCAAAAATTAACCACTAGCAATTCTAAACTAGTATGTCTACCAAAGGAAATAATATATATATATTTTTTTAAGCGAGATTTTTGCTATAGGACATGTGCGCTTGTCAGAAAGACTGAAAGCAAGAAATCACACACACACACCCCCCTGCAAGGGGGGATGGCTACAATGGAATCCCTTCTCCTCCATTCTCCTCTTGGGATTTTGGGCATGTGTGTACACATGCCTGGCGTGAGTTTTAAGCCACTTGGTTTGGGACTTGACCCACAGTCGACTAGGTAGAAGTCAAGTGACATAACCATTAAGCCATCTGCTGGTCCTAGAAATAAGAATTCTAATAGTGACCAGAATGGTATTCTACTATACTTAAGTGTTCCAAAGCTAAAAAGCAAGTCTCTGAGTATTACAGTAAACTATATCATATCAAATAAAAAAAACCTGAAATGGCTATAGGTTTGTAGTATAATCAACAAAGTACTGGGGCCAGCAGGTGGTGTGGTGGCTAAGGCACTGGCCTTCCACTTGGTTGATTGCATTTCAAGTCCTGGACCTCGCGGTTTGCTTTCTCTGTTTCTCTCTCTTTCTCTGGTGAACACATGTGCTTTATAGGAAATTAAAATAATAATAAATACAAATGAAATAATTCTAAAGAAACAAAACAAAACAAAACAAAAAAGTACTATGTAAGATGCTGAAGGAATGTGTCCAAATTTAAGATTCGCATGGTAAAAAACTGATGCCTCACTAGTCATCCTAAAAATATGGAAGGTTAAAAAAATCATTTTTAAAAAAAGCTTTTTGCTTTTTTCATGATATAATGTATGTGTACAGCTGAGAGAGAGAGAGAGAGAGAGAGAGAGAGGGAGAGAGAGAGAGAGAGAATGAAAGACATTTAGAGAAGCACCCTCGCATAGAGGCATAGAGTCTGGTCATTTTGCAATCGGCCTTCTCCAGCCCATCAGATCTTGGGGATGCATGTAAGTGCCTGGCATGTTTCAGGCTGATTGGGCAAAGGATCTGAACCACAGTCTCCATGTGGGATCCAGGTTCTCCTGTAGAGTACATTATTGCTGTTCCATAGAGTCAGCCCAAGATAAAAAATCTACTTAGTATTTTTATAACTGAGACATAGTCTACAATCAAGGTCATCCAATGTCTATAATCAGGAACAAAAGATTATAAACCAGTGACATGGCGTGAGCTAATATACGGGAAATTACTATTACTGTAAGTTTACTTGCTAAGAAAAATCTTGAATTCAACGCTCTAAAGTTTAAATCTATATGACACTTACTTTCATGTGAAGGCCGTTTGTTTATAAAACGACAAAGTTTGCTCGTTTAAGACAAGTAAATCAAGTCTGAAGAATTTTTAAACATGTAATTTCTTCTTTTCTCAAAATGACATTAAGAGATACACGCCAAACACAGCAGGTGAAGAAAGCAGACCGCAGGTGGGTCGTGGGTACCAGAGATAAACACACAAGGAGGGAACGACGCACCTCACTACTACCCTCCCCTGCCCGAGGACTTACCGAGGGGCTGAAAAGAGCGAACGGGACTCGTGTCCCTGCTGCTTTCCCGACTGGCTTCCCGGCTGCACCCTTGACTCACGCTGGGTCGGGGAATGCGACTGCTGCGGGCTGATGTGGAGTGACAGCAGCACAGCGAGGGAGAGAGCAGAAGACAGTTTGCGGTTTTTAACATATTCACTTTGTTTTTCTTTCTCAATTTAGATTTATTAAGTTATTTAGTGAAACAATAAAATGGGGGAGGCATAGAAAGCAACAGTAGATACCAGACACACTGTGGGAGGAGGGTGAGATAGGGAACCAAGGATGGGAAAAAAGGCAAAATATACAGGAAACAAGAAATGGAAAATTATTTGTTGACAATAACACATATGTTGATGTGCTTGATTGAGCCAATATACAATGTATTCTGAATGGAAAAATCTCATTTTATATACTATAATGATGTACAGTGAATGAATGTAAATTAAAAAAATGGAAAAATAAATAAATAAAAAACCAACAACAACAACAAACGGATCAACAACTTAAGTTTTTCCAAGGTTGCAGAGAAACTACGCTGGATAAAGCCTTGCCAAGAATACAGCTAAATTTCTTAAATACAGTCCTCTGATATGTAGGGGATGATATAACAAAACTACATTTTGCTGAGGTAAAAAGAGGGCACAAAAAAGATTAAAATACTGTACAACAGAGTAAAACTCAATTTCTCTTTGCCAGATGGAGACTTCTATCATGTTTGATATCTTAGGTCCAAGTAGTATATATTATTTCGTTCTCCCAGTTTTTTTTTTTACCATAGTGTGCATGCGCTCACTAGAGACAGAGACAGTGAGAGGGAAGATGAGAAATCAACCCCCAAAAGATGCCTATGACACCACAAAAGGATTCCAAAAGCTTGACTCCTACCCACAAAGTCTAAGGAATTTATTCAATATTATGTATAAGCAAGCAGGAGAGAAAATAAGAAAGAAAGGAAGAAAAGCAGGTAGGTAGGGTCCAGGAAAATCATGAATGGGAATTTCAAGATAACTGCTGAATACAGAGGCCTAGATGGCACCCAACGCAGGCAGCACAGCAAGTAAGGAATATCAAACAACAGTTAGTATTACTGAAGGGAAGGACACATTATTCTTTTATCAATTATTTAAAAATATGTAACTAGAAATGCTGGAAAAAGTATATAAAAAAGTCACTTTCCAAAAACAATGTAAACTAAAATGTGGCATAATTTTAAGTAACTGGTAAGACTGTAAGAAAAGAGAATTCCTTTCTTTTTAATAGGAATACTCTTTTTCAAGTGTTTGTTTTGTTTTAGGTTTTTGCCATAGGGTGCAGGCACTCATCGGAGACAGTGATAGAGAGAGACAGAAGAAAAGTGAGAAATCACCCCCAGGAGGGATGGCCACAACGCAACCCCTCCTTCTTCATTCTCCTCCTAGGATCTTGGACATACCTAGTGTGATTTTTAGGCCGCTGGGTCTGGGACTCGAACCGCATTCAGCCACGTGGGAGTCCAGCACCTTAACTGCCATACCATCTGCTGGCTCTCAAGTGTTTTTCTTAACACTAAACACCCAGTACATCTTTGGAAAGAAATAGGGTCATAACATATCACGTGTCTTGGGGGACCAGCAGTTGGCATCATGGCTATGTTGCTGGACTCTCATGTAGTCAACCATGGGTTGAGTCCCGGACCGGGTAGCTTAGAAACATGCCAGGCGTGTGTGCGTGTGTGCCCAAGAATGTGAGAGGAGAATGGAGAAGAAGGGATTGCGGCATGGTCATCCCCTCCAGGGGATATTTTCCTGCTTTCTGTCTCTCTCTGTCTTTCTGGTGAGTACACATGCCCTATGGCAAAAAACTCTCTAAAAAAACAAAAACAAAAACAAAACAAATATTATATGTCTTTATATCAAACAACTTTATTTACTCATACTGCTCTAAATATTATTTATAGCTTTTTCCACTTTTAAAGCCAACTATGGAACAAGCACTTGAGATTTGCCTATGTGTAAATATTAATAACGAAAAATAAAACCGATGACTAAGAGAGCAGAAAAGAAAGGTGTAGGAGTTGAAATACTGAAGTTGACAGAACAAGAAATAAAAATATGAGGTATTCTTTAAAATTTTTTAAAATTCCAGCAGATGGAGTAATGGTTACATTACTGGACTTCCATGTAGTCTACTGCAGTTAAAGTTCTGAACCTGGCAACTTAAACTAGGCCAGGCATGTGTGCAAGAGTGCCCTTCCCTCCCAATCCCCGGGGCGACTTCTCACCTTCTGCCTCTCTCTGTTTCTGGTGAGTGCAAGTGCTCTGTAGCAAAAATCTCTCTTAAAAAAATAAGTTACATAGATTGTAATCTATAACAGACATCAATGAAAACAAATGATTAAAAGAAGTTGCAGCAATTAGGGGATTATTAGGAATACTGTTACTATTAGGAATATCAGATCAAGTAGCAGCTGTCCTCAGACCATACTCAGTACCTAGACTGATAAAACAGAAAAAGAAGGAAAGAAGGGAAAGGAAAAAGTTTGGGTCCATGAAGGCGATGTGAATCAATCAACTCCTGGATCTACCAACCCTGAAGACTATACAACTCCTAACTTTTCAGTTAAAAAATTCAATACATCGGTTTTTATTTTTTAAGTAAGCTTCAACTGTATTTTCTTTTTTTTTTTTTTTTTTTTTTCTTTCTATTACACTAGATTACATATAACTTTACATTGACTTCCATTGTTTTTTCAAAATGGGATGCCATGCATGTCAGTCAATACAGAGATATCAATCTCCCCGCTTTATCATTCAATATCTTTTCCATGCTTTTCCCAATAATTGTTATTATTATTTTTTTTAAACAATCAATCACTATTTCTCATTTTTGCTTATTAAAAAGACTTCACCCATCATGAAATACTTCCCATACCGGTTCAGTTGAGAATACTATACATGTCATCATCAACAGGTAATAAACCATATCTATTTCTCATTAACATCCTGCCTCTCTATTGATTCACTGCAGTCTTTATCC